TTTATATATATATATTTTTTAAATCTTGAAACTCTTTGACCCAATCTTTTCTGATTCATGATTGAATTACTTCTCGTCTTCCTCTCGTCTCGCCATGGCCGCTCACCCTGGCACGCCGAGACAAGAGATGAAGCAGAATCAGAAAACAATATGGCACAGTTAGAATGATTATTATGAGGCCAATATCTGAATTTAGGTCATGACCCAATAAACCGAAAAAAAGAGAAAAAAAAGGACAAAACATTGTAAGAAATGATTTGCGACTTGTTTGACTAAGACTTTAGACTAGTTGATATTTTACTGTAAGTGTTTTAACACCCTATTGACCCAATTTAGGTCATTTAGGAGGCAGGCTTCCGACCCTGCCTGTCAGGTTCAACACGGTCCGAGAGGGACACACGTTCCCACAAAATAAAGACTGAGATACTTTATTAAAAGTTTCTCTACTCGGGAATCAAACTCGGGTGTCCCACTTACGACATGAAAGCCCCTAGCCGCCGCACCACAGACGCAGGTTTAGAATACTGAGCAGCCGGAAAAGGAATGACGCTATTCCAGTTATTGAAATCCCTGAATTTTTCCGACAGTCAATGCTCAAGAAAACCATTTTGTTTGTGGTACGGGTACAGGTGGGAATTGTTTTATTTTGCATAGTGTAGGTTGTCTTATGTTAGTGAGTTTAATTGGGATTAATTGCAAGTAAAGAGTTCTCGGAGGGAGGACGACTGTTAAAAATGAAAAACATAATTATTTTAAATGATATCAATTTTAAGAGCTTGTAGATTGATAACTTCATTTCTGTTTGACTGTTGATTTGTTTTCAATGATAGGTGAATGGAAAATTGAACAACAACAAAACCACCAGAACAACAGTAGAACAAAAATTGATGTATCAGTCAGTGGGTGGTCTAGTGGTTAGGCTTTCATGTTCCAAACCAGGTGTGTTCACTTCGCTCTGTGCTTATTTCGTTTTTTCTCAGTTTTTCTGTTGAGAGTTTCATTTGTGTCGGTGTTCAGATCACACATGCCTTATGCCGCAATCTGCACATTTTTAAAATTAATCAGGGAGCGGGATGAGGGCGAGAAAAGCATCCCAGGAGACAGACCGAGATACTTGATGAAATAACCTCCCTACATGGGACTCGAACCCACGTCTTCTATGGGTGACAGTATAGAGTCTTGCCATCACCGCACGGACTCCGGAAGCCGCTACTGTACGGGGTATTGGCATTGATTTTTTCAAAGTAACTCAATTTTAAGATTTTGAACTCAAAAATATAATAAAATTTCCAAGGTGTGCTTAAGTTCAAGTCGTTGATCTTAAAAAAGATACTAATACAGGGAGTCTAAAAAAAGACGAGCCGTTCTAAGGGCGATAAATCAGTCATCTCTACACTAATTTCAACAAAACATGGAATAATTAAAATACAATTAAATTCTAATTGACTGACACATTTGGTGTACATTTGACCCTTGACTCTTTATAATTCTCAAATCCTTGTTGACATTGGTGCAGAAATGACCGACCTAGCTGTCCCGCTATGAGTCCTTTTCTAAAGCCACTGGTATTTGTATAACAACATGATGGAACTGGGCGCTCGTCAATTTTTGGGCATATTATGGAGTCATTGGTATCACCTTAATGCCTGTCCATTTACCTTGCTTTCCATGAAAAAAAAAATCCTATTATCTTTTATAAAAGTCGTGATATTGGCGTTTGAATGAGGTGGAGTCGCCTGGTTTGAGAGGTAAAAAAAACAAGGAAATGTCTGCCAAAGATTTGTTATTTCCATAGCATGAGAGTCCGTGGAAACTTAAAATTTACATCTTTTGTGTCTTTATTCAACGTTTTTCCAGCAAAATGAACACCGAAATGTATTCTTAAATGGGCATGAAAGGTGTTGAGCCAAAAAACAAAAATTTGATAAAAACTCATAAACCTGCTGAAAAATGCCAATTTCTTCACTTTCATTAATTTGACTAGCGCCTGATTTCACCACGCTGTCTCACATTTTTTTTTTGTAACCCGCATAGCAACAAAGGAGCCTACTCACCCATACGTCTGTGCTCTGTACAGTGTCCTTGTAGTCTGTGAAGAACGTGTCCATATCTGTTGGCGAGAGAGACGTTAATTTAATGTATGGCCAAAGGATCTCCACAGCTGTCTCAAGTGAAACTACCTGTGTGGTGCCAGCATGATTCCGTTGTGCTTTCCGATAGTTTTATGTGTTTGGTTTTACTCTAAAAACGTATACTTTGCAAACGAAAACAAGATAGAGTATGTAATGATAAATGATAACGACCTATTTTATTTATTTAACACATCGCAACGAGCTGGAGTGAAATGCGTGTGAAAATAAAACAAAGAACATACACGTAGTTCCAAAAGTGGTACTTCCCCCCCCCACCCCCACTACATTTCTATATTTCTGTCCTACCTCCCCT